GTGATTGATTGCTTTTTTTTTTCGTCGTGCAAGCCTCCCGCCTGCCTACGAGTTTGCGAAAATGACTTGCGTATTAAATTGTGGCTGGAGTTTATTTTCTTCCATGTCACCCCCTGACCAGGCACCAGGCTGGGAGTTGCCAAAGCTTTACTTTCAGAAATGACTAGTAGTGGGTTTTTTTCTCGCTGAATGAGCAGGACAGGAGGTTATGGTTTTCAAAGTGCTGAAATAAAACAAGAGAATAACGGCATTGACATCATCCAGTTCCTTTTTGAAGACCATTTATTCCAGGGGTGGCCAAGCTGCGGCTCTTTCGCGGCTCCCTAATAAGCCTCCCTCCCCCCTTTCCCCGCCTCCCTCCCGGCCACAGGAGCACTTCTCCAAGAAGAGAAAATGAAGGCGTTTTAAATTGAAAGACGGGCTGCGATTTGGCAGTCTTGTGCTACTACTACCATACGTACAGTTGGGTTACTTTTGATATGGATAAATCTAAAGTAGTCCAAGTTTCATCTATTGCACTAAGAAAAAGTTTAGAACCCCCCCCCCCCCTCTCCCTCTCTTTTCTGCCTTTTCTCCTTTAGGCGGCTCTTGGAAGTTTACCGGTATCGTCCACCCCTGATGTATGCGGACAGCGGACGTTCCCCTCTCGTAGTTTGTCAGATAACTTGTTTCCTGTGCTTGACGGACCGGAAAGGACGATTTCGATGACAGTGAGATAAAACGCAAAGACGTCATACGCATCCTGGGCTTCTGGCTTCAGGACAATGGAAAATGGAACGTTTGGCTAACGAAACTCACCGCACAAATACAACAAATACATCACATGATAAAGAGAATCACACGCAAGAACAGAGGCGTACGAGAAGAACATCTGAGACGTATACTTGAGGCCCTCGTATACTCTAGGACTCTATACCAACTACCACACATCCGGCTCACCAAGACTCAAACATCCAAACTTGAAACGATTCTTCGCAAAGGCCACAGGCTTGCACTGGGCATCCCACGATTCTCAGCGAATTACCGTATCGAAGCAACCGGCACCTTTAACACGCTGGAGGAGCGGTGCGACATACAACGGCAATCCCAACATGATCGCCTACTAAACTCGAAGCAAGGAAGACAGATCCTCAGGCAGCAGGGTTACCTTACACCTCCCCCTGAAGAGATCCCCGACATCCCTCCACCGTGGGAATACATCCCGAGACTAACGGTTCTACCTATCCCTCGGAACATGGACAACGAAAGATACGCCACAAGGAGGGCGGCAAGGATCAATAGACTCCGCACCTCTCCAATCCCGGCCCACGTCACACTATACTACACAGACACCTCACACAAAGAAGAAATGAGCACCACATCAGTCGCCAGCCACTACCTCAACTGGCAAAACAAACATGTAGAAATCCCCACTCCAGAGGAAGCGGAGATAACTGCTATCGGCGAGGCAATAACACTACCCTACCACCCTACTGAAGACATCCTCATCCGGACGGATAGCCAAGCTGCATGCAGGGCTTTCCGAGATAACACGTTGCCTTCACAGATTAGGCAACATATCCAGGATTACCTGCATCTGCGAAGGAACATAACGGTCACGATACAATGGACACCAGGCCATGATGGCCTAGAGGGGAACGAGGAGGCTCACCTCCTCACCCGAGAACCTTTGCCGGGACCCCCAGCGATATGGCCGCCTGAGTAGAACCCACGCACCGAGAGAGCCATTTGCAGAACTACAAGGAAATTCACACTTAAGCAACTAAAGGAAAATGTCAGAACTCTACCCCCTCCTCAACGCTCGCTTGGAAGGAAGGAAGAAGTACTCCTAAGAAGAGCGCAGACATTATCGCTGCTTACAGACAACTTCGTCCATCATATATCTAGAAGTGCTGGACACCCAACCTGCAAACATTGTGGAGGATACCCAGACAACCACCATACACTCTGGGCATGTCCCAATGCCCAATCTTCAAAACGCACGGTTTTATCTTGCATATCACCTACTCTACGGCCCTCATCCTACGAAGAATGGCTCCGTCCACCCAAACACCTCGTCACCGTGTACCAAGATACTCTCCTCCAACACATCATAACCACCCTCCCAGAAGAGGAATCGTAAACACTCCACAATCTAAAAAAGGCCCGTGCGTCGGCGTTCCCGTGCAGCGCTTCGGGGGCCGGTCGCTGCGACTTGCGGAGGCGGCTCGGCCGGTGGCGTTGCCGGGGCGTGTGTTTGGACAGGGGGGCGCGGTCTGAGTTGTGACATTGGGCATTGTAAAACGTCACGCTTGCATTGCTTGGTGTCACGGCTCGGACTGCGTTTTTTGGTCTAGACATATGTTTCGGCATCGTCGTTCGCTGGGCTGCCTCCGTGGGTTGCGGTGGTTGGCTCTACGAGTTTTGTGCGGAGGAGTGAACCCACGAGCTCCTTTTTTTTTTTTTTTTTTTTTTTAGTGTACAACTTTTTTAACGAGCGCCGGACCAGGCGTACAAAAATAAAGTTTACTCTCTCTCTCTCTCTCTCGATGACAGTGTGCATGACGAGCGCAACAGTTTTTTTTTTCTCTAGTTTGCAACGAATGTTAGCATCATTGTTGTGGTTGTGAAAAGCTTCCTAGTGCCCTGGAAACGAAGTGGTTTGGAGTTTGGAACAACCACACCGATCGAGAAAGAACATATTTGTTATCTTGAAGATGGGGTGGGGTCGTCTGTAAGCCCCATCGCTTGCAACCTCCTTGATGTCAATGCCTTTGTTTGTAAGCACGGCTGTTTCTTTTTCTATTGTCTGTTCAACTGAGCCATCAGTTGTGGTCGTTGTTGCCTATGAGCTGTAGTAGGCCTACCTGCAAACTTATGTTAGAGCTATAATTGGCAACAAACGCCAACAATGTGTTTTATGCCTCGATTTATATTACAAAACGTACGACGAGTGATGGATGGAAAGAACTTTAATTTCTCCTGTCAGGAGCTCTAAACAATCCATGCTATACAATTTCGCGGTGGACGCGCATTTGAAAATATTCCAAATTGTTCTGAGTTATTGTCAAGAAATAACTTCTCAGACTTAACGACAAAACGGTGAATGTGCAGAGGAGCTGGTGGATGTTGATCATGTGGACCTATTTACTGGACGCTCAAGCACAACATTTGCGCTACCAAGGTCAATCTCCATGCGCGGGGTCAATAACTCGGCACTTTTTGTATTTTGTGTTAGTCCGTGAAAGTCATGTCTCTTTTCGTCTCTCTGTTTGTTTTGTGCTTTCTAACTGTTACATCTGTCCCATCACGCTCGTCAAAGTCTTCTTAATTGCTCTTTGTTTACAAAACGTTTACAGATTGTCTTTTTGTCATTAAGATTTCGCAATTATTGATGCCTAAAGTAATTAAATAACAAATGCAACAATCTCATACAGTGAAGCGTGAAACACGCGTCAGCCAGAATTGCGTCTCATCGCGTCACCAAGCGGCGGAACCACAGGAACCGCCAATGACGGTTGCTATGGTTACGCTGCTTCGCGGCGCGGTGAGACGCGATTTTTACTCCCGTGTGTTTCGGACTTTAGTCTTGATTTGCAACAACAAATTACTCAGAAAAGTTGTAAATTACACTGATTCAACTACACAACTACTGTAGCTGATTTGGTGCGCAAGTAGGGTAACGCTGCCAGGTAATAATAAAAGTATACTCCGAGGGATTCACAGGACTGGGAAACTTTCAGGTCGTTGACCATGCAGCTTAGTAAGGTGCGGGCTGTTTGCTTTTGTTCCCCACTTTGGCATAATGGGAATCCCACGATTATGACAACTCCATGTTTACCTTTGGCGTCTGCCATGCTAATTAAGAAAACTAAACACTGATATAAAAAAGATAGTATGGCCGAATTTGTATCAGGCCTGATTAAGGGTAACTAATTTACAGGCATGGCTCACGAGCACATGCGTGCAGAGGAGGGCAAGCTGATTCGCCGATTGCTAAGCACCTAAGGAACAGACGCGTGCCCGCGCGATGACGGAATTTCAGGTGTGTGGGGACCGAGTTAGGAAAAGTTGAAAGCCTCCACATGCCTGTGACATAAATATTTATGAAAACTGTGCATATCGATTCCATCGGTTAGTCCGTGTGATCCATCCGTTAAAAAAGTTTTCAGTTTTTGCCTTTTAAATTTCGTGCAACTTTTTTTTTTTACCAAACCTGTAGAAAAAATGTACGCTCGCCCTACGCCTCGTCCGGCAAGTCAATCAGATAACCAACACCCCGTTGTCTACAAAACAAAACAAAAAAGTTTTTGAGGTGGATCCAAAACACTTTGGGTGTGTAGCCCCTGTTCATATATACGTTCTTTTGTTTTTGATGTGGGAGCAAGTCTGGGTGCACTTCCTGCTGGATCGCCACTTGTGCGACTATGCCATAATTAATTTAAAACGTTTCATCTAGATGCACTTGAGCAAATCGGGTGTCTTGTACGTGTTATGCCCGAGTCCCATTAGAAAAGAAAAACAAAAGCAAGCGACAAGCATCAAGCACGTGCGGCATGCACGGGAAAATACTTTTGACAGGCAGTCTCTCAATGCTCGTGAAGTAAGCACAAGTGATTGCAAGCCTGCCCTTCGCCTGCTTCTCCACGTGTTTGCTGCTTGTCGTTGTCGGTGGTTTTTGCCTGTTGCTCTAGTGGGACTCAGTCATTATGCAACAGTACTGGTGTTTTGTGTTCCCATCAACTCGTTACGGATCCAAGGGGAGCTGGGGCGCTCGAGTCGGCGGCGACGCTCGAGTGGGCGGAGACGCGCCGAGGTATTCGTACCGACGACTCGAAGGACCTCGGCCGAGCACCGCCTCAGGTGAACTCGCGGGAACCCATTGTGGAAGGCAAGCCGCGAATATTTCCCAGTGCAGAGCTAACTTTGGGTTGAGCCAAATTTAGCGTCTCCGCTCGCTTGGCATTCCGCCAGCCATGTGGCCAATGGCGTGCAGACCACGTGGGGCCCGGCCCGGTACTTGAGCCCCGTGCGCCCGGGAACCCTGGGCCTTCCGCTGCTTTCCGCTCTCGCGTTCGCATCGCACAGCTTGGTCGCAGACATGGTGAGTCTCCCTTAACCAAAAGGTGAAGAGCCGGCGACTAGCCTTTCGGATCGCCGTCTCTTTACCCTAGGTGACCTTGACATTGCTTGGGGTTCCCGCGACTGGAGTGTGCTGGGAGCCCGTCACTGCCTTCCGTCAGAGCTCACTGGGTCGTCGATGTTTGCTCCTTCCACCCTGGCAGGCCGCTTTATTTGTCCCAAGTGCCAGAGGCTACTGTAGATGGAACGTTTTGTTCGCTGGCTGCTTTGCACGGCTTCGGTTTTGTCCCAGCTAATGGCATACAACCTTCAAAAGAATCCAGTTATGATACTTGACAAGGACATTGTATCAGAGGCATTGGGCGAAGCGGCTTCCAGCACTCTGCGTTGCGTTCGATTCGTGCTCTAACTCTCCAGTTGTCTGTGATAAAAAAAAAGGAATAGCATAACGGATCTGTTCTATCTTACTCTTCTTTACGTAGCTTCTGAAGTGCAAATTTTTTCACATGAATTACGTAAAGTCGTGCTGACGATGGCGCGACGAGAGTGTAATGCTTATTAAACATTCCCCTGATGTCACGTAAAAAGTGTCAGGATTTTTTTTTTTTCTACGGGTAAAACCCCGGGTAAAGGATCGGCAACGTGAGAACTAGCGCTCAAACAGATTTCGAGGCATGCTGCACAACTGAAGATCCCATAGTACCTGTCATTTGCAAATGACATCGCAGCTATCTCTGCTATTTAAAGGCGCTGTGCAACGGTATTGGGTAGGAAAGTTTCTCACTTTACACCAGCTTTGTGGCACTAGTAGGATCCAAGAACACTCGAACGCAACTCCACTTACCAAGAAGCGTCTTCGCCGCGGTGGAATTCCAAGAATGAAACTGAACCTTCTTTTTTTTTTTTCCAGTCTGCTTTGCAAAATTTGATGACGTAGCTATGGGGACAACGCCAACGATACGATCCCCAGGCGTGCGTCGTCGAGCTTTGCGGTCCCCGCTGTGACGATATTTAAATGATGGTCATACTGTGGACACGGAATCTGCGTAGGCCTTCCATTTTGGCTCGTGACAATCAATGCCTCGACATGCATTCGGGTAGTGGCTCGTGCCCAGTCGCTGAGATGAGGGGAATGGCCGAACCTTAACAATTCGTGGAACTCAGAGCGCGCCATGGGCTCTGCCAACCCCAACGCGTGGCTATGTTAAGAACATTGGCGGCATATAATCGGCTCCAGATCACGTGGCCGCCTTTTTCTGGCTGCGAGATAAAGCGGTAAACGGTGTTCGTTGTTCTCAAACTTTTTTTTTGTTGAGACTGTTATTGCGTAGAGAGAAAAAAGAAGTAATATGTGTTTTATACGTCATAAATCTCCAGGAATAATCCTAATTTCTTGAAAGTAGAGATATTGTTGCATCGCACCTTTAAGGGACAAGGAATGGCATGCCTAGTTTGGGCTTCAGTCTTCATAGTTGTTTTTAATGCTCTTCCTGCAGCGCAATACTCGCCAAAGCATTGTTTGCGAACAATTGATATCACCTTATTAGCCTTCCATTAACTCGTTATTTAACTGCGTTTAATGCCTAGAAATTAGTTAGTTTCTTGTAGCCTTTCAAGGTTTTCATCCGAAATAGATTGCGGTACAATACGTGCCGCAATACGGCATATTTGTTCTCTTTTTGTTCTTTAATCACTCACTCCGCGCACGTTTCTTGGTTGTTTTAGCGTGGAATGCAATTGTTTTGAAGAGCGGCGCGGAATTGAAGCCAAACAATAATTTAAAAGTCCTGGTATGCATAAATTTATAACACCCTAGGAATACCTCGTTCTCGCAGCTGCAAGGGATTATCATATTTTGTTTGTGTTTTCAGTAGTGTAGGCATTATTTGACCGCGTCGTGTTTTACAACTTCCACGAAAGTTTACAAAACCGATCTGGCGACGAAAGAAAAAGGTATATGTTAACCGTGACGTCTATTTTAACGGTCAAACGTCACGAAGCAATTAACGATGCCACTGAAGCACCGATTCCTTCTTATGTCCAAATAATTACTCCTCTGCTCCTAAAACAGTGTAGGAGCGCTGTGTTCTTAACATGCTGACTAGCTAGTCTCGATTAATATGCGACGATAAAAAAGCACGCTACAATTGTGCATTTAGTGCGCTAGCCAACGTTATCACGAAGTAGCCAACTTCCAGCCTTTTACTCAACTTTCGCTCGACCTCAAGTTTGGGTAGGCTTCTCCACGCACTTCCTAAGTTAGACACGAAAAGACTGGCGAGCCAGCTTCAGAAATGGAACCGTGTCCGGAAACTTGATAGAAAGACATTACAGTGTGTCAGTGTGTGGCAAAAGCTCCACGGAGCATTTATGCTTCGTAGTCCCACGTGTCATGCAAACAGTACCAACTTGTGCTTTCTGAGGCTAGCATTGCCGGCCATCCTGTACCTCGCCGAGCTTCCCCAATTGGTTGAGCGATTCCAATGCTCCGTGCAGCGACTACGAGGGCGCTCGGCGTGCGAGAATAGCTTGGACCTGGAGGCGGTCTTATTTGGGGCTGCGGGCAGGCCCGCTCTTGGTAGGACAGAAGGGGGCCGGGGAGCGCTATTTTGAGGCCCTGGGCGTACGAGCGCGCCGCCATGTAGACGACCGGATGAGCAGCTGGCGGCCGGGCTCTCGGTTGCTTACGGTTGTCTCGGCCACGCCACAACCCTGCAGTCAAACCGGCAGGGAGAGGGAGAACCTTTTCGGTGAGCGCTTCAGATCCGTCGAAAGCTGCCTGACGGACGCGTAGAAATAAAGCATCCTGCAAAAGTTCACGGAGCGTCAACTGAAAGTTGAATCTGCTCCGAGCGCAACGCTTTTTGGAAAGTCGCACGCAGGTTCAACGATGCTCCTTTCGCTTGGTAATCAGCCGGTTGAAACTGGATAAGCTCGGAGCCCCGAATGGAAGCCTTCAATCAATTTCGATTTGATCCTTATCGAATGACCTTTGTCAAAAGTATGAATAAGCAACTTTTCATGCGCGACAAAATATGTCTTCCTTGTAAATAGTTCGCGCACGAATCCTACCCTTATAACAATATTTATCCACTTTCAACAAAATGTCTGTACAAATAATAATTTAAAAAGGGTATAGATATTCCAAAAAAAAATGTATCCACTTTTTGTTCTCTTTTTGTGTGCAATAGAACTTGGACTATCGAGATTGGATTGAAATTGTGTAGAGAACAGATAGGAATTCTGATAACGTTTTTATGTTTAACACAATATATTTATAGAAGCATGCACTCGCCAGTTACATAGGCACATACGCAAACAAGACAAATACACACTGCACGGAGCATTCCTAACACTAGTAAATCAGTATTGCCATGCGCCCCACCGCCATATCTGCCTTACACTTAGAAGGCACTCATTTGAACGAGGACCACCGCAGAAAATAAAAGGATTACAAGTATGCTGCTTTTTTCTCGCCGATAATTTATACGAGATGTGGTTTCTAAGGATCGTGAACTCTATCTCCAACTCTAAAGGATTGCAACAGGCGATAATTATTTGACAGGGTCGAAAAAAGCAGCTCTCTTCAAGGAGGTTCTAACTGGGTGCGATGTCGCTTCTCCGCGCAGCATATTATTATTATATCAACTCTAGTCATATAACTTTTATAGAAATAGGGTGACAAAATGTCTATGGAGACGACGATATAAATTTTATAGCATTTTTATCGTCTGTGCTTTGCAAACTTCGGTTGAAAGAAAGTCTATAGAAAATCAATTCAAAATTGTCAACACGACGTGGCTGCGTAGGAAGTTGAAAGAGTCGTTAAAATGTGGATAGAATTTCTACAGAGTGCCTGAATAATGTTTTGCAAGGGTAACCTATACGAGGTAACAATAATGTTGGCACTTCGCCGACTCTCTCGGTTTACTTGGTTCACAAAAACTAAAAATTTGAGTCCATGCGTAACTCCTCGCGACACGAGTTGAAAACACGCCTTTCGCTTGGGAGTGAGGCGGACGACTAAAAATGTGCCGTTAGTTGTTTAGACAGCAGGAGTTTCGTCTGCCAGAATATGGCGACATTGTTGCCCACTGTAGATGAGACATTTAGCTAGAGCAGTACGACTGCTTTAGCGTGCATCACGCAGTAGTGATACGACCGTACGCCGGTACGATGCTCCTCCAGGTCGAAACGGTCAGGAGTGGGTCCGACTAAGTGGCGGTTTCCTTCCCGCAGAGTGACTCCGTGAAAGAGAAGAAGAAGAAGAGCAAGAAGGCGTCCGAGCCCGATGAAGCAGCTCCCGCGGCAGCCCCCGCTGCGGCTCCGGCCGCCGCCCCTGCGGCAGCGCCGGCGGCCAAGAGCTCAACCAAGAAGCGAGCGCAGCGTAGTACCTCCAACGTGTTCGCCATGTTCACGCAACACCAGGTTCAGGAGTTCAAGGAAGCCTTCCAGATGATCGACCAGGACAAGGACGGCTTCATCAGCAAAGCGGACATCCGCGCCACTTTCGACTCTCTGGGCAGGCTCACTAACGACAACGAGCTCGAGTCGATGATCTCCGAGGCTCCGGGCCCCATCAACTTTACCATGTTCCTCACCATCTTCGGCGATCGCATCACGGGCGTCGACGACGAGGAGGTCATAGTGAACGCCTTCAACATGTTTGACCAGGGCAACGGATTCTGCACGGAGGAAAGGTGAGGCCCACCTGGGCAACACCATCCAGATAGAGAGTCGCTCAATTTTATACGCCACCTCCGAGGGCCAGTGCGTAGCACATATTGGACACGAATCCTCTGCACGCGTTCGGCTGAAACTGGCATTAAATCAATCAGAACATGAGTCCGGCCGTACGCTGACATTGTCTCCAATCTGTGAGCCGCTCTGGCCTCCCACAGGTGACGTAGAAACTTGGGCACTGTGACTTTCTAACTAGGTGCGTCGATCTCTGTCGTTACATCAGCTTAATGTCACTGGATTCTGAGAAAGTAGCGCCAAGCTCCTTGTATGGTCGCCATTTTTTTTATCAAATTAACAGTTTCTTTTTGACCTTTCCATTCTTAGTGAGCCAATCTAAATTCGTTGGTGACGGGTAGCTTTATAGTGACGTTTCTTGAATGCCGAGATTTTGTTATCCACACGCCAGCGAAACAAGCGCACATCTTCGCACCGTCACCACATGCGGCAATCGGGCTTGGTGGCATCGAAAAATAAGTTTCCTGTCTTTAAATACGCAAAAACAACAATACCATTCTAAGAGATCCGGGGAGATAATCATGATTGTTAGCGAATTGCATGCGCAGTGTCATAGACGCTTATATTGGCGAGGAACGCTTTCAGTACGGTGATGCTCCAAAGCGATCTTGGTGCGACTGATTCAGAACGAACCCCCGAAGCTCCGAAGATTTGAGTAAACCGAAATTGTGATTGCCATGGCAACTGATACAGATGTTCGGTCGTCTGTACATTCTAAGAAATGCCTGCGCGTCTACTTACCCGCAAAACACTCAAATAGCCAATCTCTGCGATCTAAGAAATCAGCTCAGCGAATGATGAAGCGGAACATCCGTTTAGACCTCAAAATAAGTGTCTGCGCTGTGTGGTATTACGCAATGCAAAGCGTCATGCTTGCATTGCGTAATGCCACAGCGCATACTTTATTTTGAGGTCTCAACAGATGTCCCGCCTCATCATTCGCTGAGCTGTTTTCGTAGATCGCAGAGATTGGCTCTACGAGTGTTTTGATGGTAAGTAGACGCGCAGGCATTTCTTAGAGTGTATGCTATACTTTGTCTCATCCTGCGATGGACTAAAGGTTAAAGCCACGGGCCGCCAGGTCCAATAACGTTCCACGCTAATCTATAACGTGCCTAACATTGATCAGGGGTAGACGAATAATGGTCCGAATCAAAGAGCGCGGCATCATTTCTATAGCTTCGACACTGTAAAGAGCCCGTATATCGTGCACTCTAAAAAAAAAGCCCGTGCGTCTGCTTTCCCGCACCCCAACACTCGGACAGCCAATCACCGCAACTTACGGAGGCAGCTCAGCGAATGACAATGCCGAAACATATGTTTAGACCAAAAAACGCAGTCTGAGTTGTTATTCTAAGCAATGCAAGCGTGACGTTTTGCATTGCTTAATGTCACAACTCAGACTGCGTTTCCTCGTGTGAACATATGTTTCGGCATTGTCATTCGCTGAGCTGCGTCCGTAAGTTGCGGTGATTGGCTCTCCGAGTGTTGTGCGTAAAAGTAGACGCACAATTTTTTTAGATTGTGGCTTTTTTTCTTTGATGTAAAACTGATGAGTCACTCAGTGCTATTTGATTCGAACCACTGTTTGCCCATAGCCATTAGTGATACGAGACGCGGGCACCGAAACGTGCATCGAAGCGAAATACCGCGCGATTAAGTGACTCATGATTGGATCTGGCGGTCCGTAGCTTTGGCCTTTAGTCCATCGTATGGTGAGACGAAGTATAGTATCTGTTTGTGTCGGCTAGCAGGGACACTCTAAAAAAAACCGCGCGTCTACTTTTCTCGCACAACACTCGGAGAGCCAATCATCGCTACTTACGGAGGCAGCGCAGCAAATAACGACGCCGAAACATATGTTTATACCAAAAAGCGCAGTCTGAGTTGTGACATTAAGCAATGCAAGCGTGATGTTTTGCATTGCTTAATGTCACAACTCAAACTGCGTTTTTTTTTTTGTTTTTTTTTTGTCTAAACATATGTTTTGGCATCGTCATTCGCTGAGCTGCCTTCGTAAGTTGCGATGATTGGCTCTCCGAGTGTTGTGCGGGAAAGTAGACGCACGGGAGTTTTTTAGAGTGAGACAATGGCGCCACTTTTCCAGGATGCAGTAACTTTACATCAAAACTACGCGAACCGCGCTTTCTAAAAAAAGTACCAACACAGGAAGGTGGTTCGATAAACGGGAAAAAAACAAAACGCTGACGGCACGAATATGCTAAGCTCGACCATTGCCTTGCAGGCTTCGGCAGATGCTGTGCACCTTCGGCGAGAAGCTGACCGATCAGGAGGTGAGTGGCAACGGCCGTTCTTACGCTCCAAAATTATCACTATTTTCTTATGGGTGACAGTGACGTGAACTTGCACTAATACTTTTTTGGACGCTGACCTACGTCCAGAACCTTATTAGCTGCCACGCAGCAGTCTTTGCTGTTTAGGATTATAGGGTGTGCAATGTGTCCGAAGGCCCACCGCCTGACTGATCCCGTTTCTCGCAGGCCAACGACGCTTTCGCCGAGGCGCCCATAAACTCCGAGGGTAAGGTGGACCTCAAGAAGTTCGCCTCGGTCCTAACCAAGGGCGTGGAGGAGGAAGAGGGAGCGTGAATGACGTCATCGGAACTCCACTCCAGGGCTCCAACCGTGTACGTCGTCATCCAGCTGGAGCAATAAAACACAGACTTTTGGAAATGGACTCGCGCGCGATCTTATGCCCATCCTCCGTGTGGACGGCATAGCTGATGGTTTGTAGAGGCCTCGTTCCCCATGCCCCGCCTGTTGCGCTGGATGTGCTGAATGCCGTCCAGAAAACGCTCTGCATTGGGCATGCTCCCGTGCATTCCGCAGAACCAGCCTAAGAAAGCGTCCCCTATTCTCCGTCCCCGGAGGCCTTGGAATAATGAAATTGTACAGTTTAAAGCGAGTGGCTAACCTTCGGTAGATTTGTGTGCACCTCTAAGGAAAAAAGGTATATATTTAGTCTATTAATGGCATTACAAAGCGAGATAGAGAGAGTGACTATCAGGGTGTCATGTAGAAATACGCTAATAATAAAATCATATTAATAAAACATGAAGCTGGAGGCCTGCAGAAAAAGCTGTCACATCGACAGCTTGACAAAGCCGAAGGCCCCCACACGCAGGTTTACAGCGTGAGTACAATATATTAACGGCACCATCCTGTAGCATATACTATAGGACTGGACTGAACATTCACTGGACACCATATTTGAGGGTGATGTTTAGAGCCCATGCCCAGAACAAGCTCACATTAATAGCCTGCTAGGACCGCGGCAATCTTGATGGTGCGGAATGTACGTTGCAAAAGAACTGCGGAAGCTCGCCGTCAGCACGCGCTCAGCAGCCGCGCACAGATATGGCCGCCAGTGAATACTCCCTTTATATTCAGACATCAACAAAACATCTTAAGGCGAACTAGTCCGGGGCTAGCGCACACCTGCTCGGAGCACACGGAGCGAAAGCTCGCGCTGCATAACCCAGGGATCCTGGGTTCAATCCCCACCCTTGCCTGTTTCGATCTGGATAAGGATCTTTACGGTATTAGCGCACCCGTAGAGAGAAGAGAGAAGATACAGGACAGCCCTATCCTGTATCTTTTATCTTCTCTCTACGAGTGCGCTAATACAGTTTAGATGTTTAATTACCAACTAGCCCAGTTATCTACCTTTTTACTAGATAAGGATCGTACCGGCGTGCAGTCTTGTTTCACTACTGCATGATGCACGTTAAAGACACCAGCCTAGCGGTTGTAGTGCACTCGCCAAGTTTCTCATCTACAGCTAAGACATCAGACGCCCATTGAGGCTGACTGACTTCCTAACATTCATACAATTTTATTATTATAACTAGTCGGCATGCAACATGGCCAGGAAAAAGGCCGACCGATTATTTTCACTCCAACCGCATTGAAAATGTTAATAACAATAATGTTGTTGCAACTGGCAACCGTCACGCAGTCTCAAAAGCTTTGTATTAAAAATCAATTTTTTTAATTATCAATAACGAGTGTTTGCATTTAGAAGTTCGTGTCAGAGCATGAATGGGGCCCTAATAACAGAGCACGCCAGATCGGAAAGAATGGGGTTGGACCTTCACATATATTTATTTTTCCATTTTCCTAGGAACAACATTTAAAATCGCTGGTGCTAAGTTCATTCGCAACTCCAACGCAATATAGATGGCGGGGCTGTAGTGCAAAATTTCGGAAGAGACCGGTATAGATTCTCAAGGTTTTTCCATGCGGCTGCTTGCTGACGCTGCTCAGTGTGCTAAAATTAATCTATTTGGTTACTAATACGAAGCGGTCAGGGCAGGAGCGTATGATTGATGCCGATGTTGTTGACTTGCGTTAAGAGAATGAGCATGTTAATCTTTAAAAGTTGCGGAGCGGAACAGAACCATTGCTAATTTACCGCACTTTTTTTCTTTTTTTTACTGCATGATGCACGAACACGTTGACCAGAATTATGCGGTAGCAGCAGAAACAGGGCCGATAGTCCCTGCCACCGCCTACGCCGTCGTCGCCGCCATCCCCGCTATTCTGGTTCTTCGTTTGTCCGCGAGAGGGTGAGCGGAGGGCTGTAGTTGCGAATAAACAATGCTCATCTAACGTTTCTATCGATTCCTTAGCCCCTTCCTTCCCCCTTTTCCCTACCTCACAATTTGTTTTACTTTTTATTTATGCTTCATGGATGCCATTATAATTACGAAAATATTAGGTGATGTCAACATGTAGCTATATGATAGAGAATTCAGAATTTTTTCGTTCAATGACGTAAAATATTGCAGACAGAAGAGCTAAAGCCGCAGGTTTTTTATCCATGCAAGAAAAAAGCAAAAAACAGACATCTTTTCAAAATGAAAGAAATAAAGAGATGCAGAAAAATACCAAAATTGTGATTGTTTACCAAATACTCCCGACAAAACAATCCGTCTTGGCTGCACTTCACTGGGAACAAATTATGCGACTGTCACCGGGGGGGGGGGGGGGGGGGGGGGGGGGGGGGGCAGGGGGGCACAGGTAAGGTTCTGTGGGTGAGTTTTCACTTGGGCTAGTTGGTGATGCATTTCAGAATTAAAAGCACTAAAAAACGAGCATGAGTAAAAGAAGACACACACAGAGTAGAGCGCTCTACTGTGTGTGTCTCAGTCTTGGGTAAGCTACTTTTAAAAAGTAATTCGTTACAGTTACAGTTACCTTCAGAAAAAAGTAGCGAAGTTACCGTTGCAATTACCGCAACAAAAGAGTAACTCCTTACAGTTACTTTTAAAAAGTAACGACGTTACTTTTCAGTTACTTTTCTATAAGACAAAAAATTGGAAAAACTAGAAAACGACCCTCACCAAGTTTGATTGCATAAAATTAAACAGTACGCTATTTACTTCATATTATAACTTAGCAGAAGTTGCTTCTCGAAATTAGTGTTTGAAAATTTCCATGCCAGAGTAGTGGCACAAGTCAAAATACGAAACATGCGCATGTGTGGAGTGTTGGCGCTAATCAAAATACAAAACATCCGCAGTGCCCTCCGCGTGTATTGTTGTTTCACGGTTGATTCACCCGATTAAAAAGCGTTTTCACAGAAAAAAGAAATACCACAACATAGATAGTGCTTCTAGACACTAAGATGTAAGTGTTCAGTCACAAGGTAAAAACGCGTAAGTAAAGATAACTAATTTTTTTTTTTTTCATGAAATCTACATGTGGCTATATTCGTGTCGGGACTCGTGAGAAAGAACGTAGTCACAAGTTTGTGCAAGGCCAACTTGACACTCGAAATGTCGGAATTGACGATTTGAGGAGTGCAAGGAAAATCTAAATTGTACTCGTTCAGTGAGATATTATTCATAAAACACTGGAAGGTAACGACAAAATAACGTCGTAACTTTCATTGTTACCTCAGAGAAAAGTAATACAACTACAGTTACAATTTAAATTTTAAAAAAGTAACTCGTTACAGTTACAAGTTACTAAAAAAGTAACGAAATTACAGTAACGCGTTACTACCCAAGACTGGTGTGTCTTCTTTTACTCGTCCTCGTTTTTTAGCGCTTTTAATTCTGTGGGTCAGACAGTTTTGCACCTCAAAGCATTTCCCGAAAATGGATTGTATACGCAACAGCCCTCGCAAAGCCCTCGACTCTAAAGAACCACGTCAAAGACTGGTGTTCCAGTCTTTGACGTCTCATATAACTTCCGGTTTATAAAAAAAAAAAATGAACAAAGGCCACCTTAACACCGCTGCTTGAAATGTAGATGAAACACCTAACCACCAATTCTCCAGGTGAATGCCAAAAGAACGAAGGTGTGCGAGATCTGTTAAAATGTATCGAGTATTCATGTAAACCAACTTGCCTTCTCCAAGATGTAATATTGTACAGCCGAAGACCCTCGTTAAATCTCCAACTTTGTTGTCCGTGTAAGATATATGCCTTCTATAGCACAGGTGACAAAGCAAGCTCAACAGGCTTGCAAAGACGGTGCGCGCAGAATTCGCTTGGGACAGCAGAAGGGTTTGACGAAAGGTAAATAAATGCACTGTACCAAATTTTTTTTATATATCAAAAGGTAGTGACGTCACTCCCCACGTCTGAAGCTGCCGTCGCCGCGGCAGCTTGCGCCGCAGTAATCTTTACCAAAAAAACGTATGCTGTGAGCGCTACGTGCTTCGCATTGTTATCAGGAGCGCCTTATCACCAAATGTGGTTCAGATGCTTGTTTTGTGCTTGTTCTTTATTGAATCTAATGTTGTACTGTATGTTGTATGCGTGATATGCACTTTTAGCTTCAATCGCTAAAGGATTTTTTTTTTTTTATCGTGAGGACGATTTTACGGGGAAATTCCAGAAATCCGATTTGCGAGTGATATAAGCTTCGAGGTAAAAACGAAAGCTCAGATTTCCAGCTCGAGATAAAAGCCACGGTACTTTACTAGGACACCGCTATCAAATAATGCATTTACATAGGCGTACAAACGTGTGCAAACACGTGCAGCATGCGTGTGATAAACTTTGACAGGCTTGCATATGCACGCGCTTGTTCACACAACCATAGACATGATGGCGGCCATATGCCCTACTTGCCATGATGTATACTGGGAGGCAATATTATGCGGTAACGAAAAAAAGGAAAAAGGAGGATACAATGCACGCGCGTAGCTTTGACTGCGTTCTTCTGATAAAATTGTCCCCGGCATGGATGAACGGAAGCGCTTGAGTAAAGGCTGGTTCACACACTTGCGTGATCGCAACCGAGTGCCACTCCAATGGCTTGCGACGTCATCTTTTAACGGATTGCTATGGCAACCAGGCTGTTGTAAGCGGCTTAAAACCCCGTCGCCATGGCAACCCGTAAAAGGATTAACGTCACAAGCCGTTGCAGCCGTCCTTGGTCGGACTTACGCAAGAGTGTGATCATGCGAGCTCTCTCGAACGCGGTCTCCCGGTACGAAACCTATTCGCGACTCCAGCGAACTATAGGGGGCGCGCTGGTCAGGCACAATGGCGGATGAAAGGAGGTCGTTTTCGTCGTTCAGCACGCGGACCACCATAGCGTCTACTTTTCCTCACAACACTAAGAGAGCCAATCAGCGCAACTTACGGAAGCAGCTCAGCGTATGACGATGCCGAAACATATATTTAGACCGAAAAACGCAGTCCGAGTTGTGACAAATCG